AATTATATATATATATATATATATATAATTTATATTATAGGCCTATATAAATATTTTTAATATAAACATAACACTTTTTTCTTAAATATATACATGCAGGTGTGTGTAGTTACATTATACATAATAAATATAAACAGTACACTCATATGTTATGTAAACAAAAACTTTTATTTTGGATGGGATTAATCGTTTGACAGAACTAATATATATATATATATATATATATAGCAGTGTATGCAATATTTAATGGCATGACTTGATGAAATTAAGACTTCTGCTCTGATTTAAGACCTTTTAAGGCTTTAATTTGTGAAAGCACTTTCAGAATCCAGTCATATCCCTCCATAATTAACACTTTGTTGCCATTAGTAGTTCTTATGAGAATAGTGCAGTGTGCTTTACACTGATGGCATGATTATGAAATTATTAACTAGTTCATCTGCACCTGTTTTAATTGACCAGAACACTTACAGGACTGCAGGCGAACAGCAGTGTGTATTGATCGCTTGGTTTTTGTGTTACGTAACTTCACGCTGAGTCTGCGCATTTATATACCGCATAACACAAACGCCGACTACAGCAAAACACTTGTTGCTCTAAATGCGTATCATAATCACCTCCTTTCACAGTTGACAAATCACAATCGGAATTTAGTCTATATAGAAACATAACTGCTCGGGTGTGTGACGTTCGAACTGTCAGGAGCAGAGTTGTTTACTGCACACAACCACCATATCAAGCTCACTTATGATGCATTTATACTGTTGCTTGGCGTGAAATTCGGCGTTCCTTCTTGTTTGCAACCCACAAATAAAAACGACAGCAACGCGCTGCTTTGAGCCTGTCAAGTTTGGTTACAACTTAGCACAACAAACTTAGCAAACAAAGTAGTTGCAGAAGCGTAGTAGCTCAATGAATGCTCTAATATGGGGGAACCTGTTTACATTACTACACACTAAAATATAAATCATAAAACAATGCGTCACGTGGCTAATGTGCGAGCGCGTTCAGCTCGCTAACTCAGCTAAGCTAGTTAAGTTACCCACCTCTCTTTTTCTCGCGTTTCACCTGGAGCTGCTTCTTTTTCTGTTTGTTACTAAAAGGCTTTTTGCGTGGCATGTTCGCATTAGTCAAAAGAAGGAAATAGAGAGAATGCGCGAGGACGTATCCTCCTTGTACGCTTACTATTTACATTCGTGAAGTTTCTCCGTTACTCGCGTGGACTTTTCAGTGACGCCGCCCACTGACGGGGTGGACGCTACCATTATAGTCTTCAAGGATTCAACACTAGGAGTCAGAAATACAATTGATCGACCATGTTCAATTGCTCTCTGTTCTTTTACTACCTCTGTTCACTTCATGCGACTACTGTTTACTAAAGTCAAACGATAAAGCAGTAAGTAATTTTGACCCCCATATTTTTGACTAGTGGTGCAGTCTGTCACAGAAATGAAACTATTATACAATGGAATGTTAGAAACACCATTATTTGTCTTAAATTTAAGAATAATTAACTACAAATAAATCTGAAAAAGTATATACAAAGAAGCACAAATAATTCATTCCATTGTTTCTTTGACGTCTGACAAACAACTGTTATACATTAAATCATGAGGGAATTTACAAATCTTATTTAGAAAAGTTCAAAATCTACAAACCACAAAGAAAGTAACTCTATTCTCTAAACCGACGAGGGTCCTTGTTGGTTATGGAGGAATAATAATAAAAAAAACATTAATAATAATATTCTATATTCTTACTTAATGATTTAGTTATTATAAACTGCAATACTACCCGTTAATGCCATAAATAAAAAATTTTTATTGAAAAACCCAGGTTGACTAAGTTAACAGACAGATTATAAAACAGATTATCACAAGGAGGCACATTAGAAGCAATCATTTCTGTTTTTAAATCTTGTTTTAAACGGTTAATGCACACTAATCTGATTTTATTAATGCCTAGAGGTTGTTGCATGTTTACAGTTATTTTGATAACAGTAGTTACAATAGAATATTATATATTCTATTAATGGAATATTAAGTCATCTGCAAATGGAAATACTAAACAGGATAATCTTTCAAGAAAAACACCATCTCATTAGATATTTGCCATCGACATTAGTTGACACATCTTTTACTGTTGTCCTTTTTTCATTCACACACAATACATCTTTTAACCATATATACGTGCTTTTTAACGTATGTGACTGCAAACAAATTTCCTTTTTTAAAAGCAAAAACAGACCAACAATTCCTATACATACTGTGCAAGACAAAATATTTCCGTTCTCATTGACAGTAACAATATTGATGTTGACAGTGCAGTGATCGTACCAAAAACTACAGACACAGACAATCATACAAACAAGATAAACCAGAAATTTCAGCAACAGACTTGAGATATGAGCTGGGTACCCACTGAAACAGCAACAGTCTTCAAGGAAGCTTTTGGGGAGGAAGATCAGGATTATAAAAAAATACAAAAGTCTGTTTTCTTCGATTTTGTCCATTTAAATCCACTTGCTCCTTTATACAAATAAAAAGGTATCGAGTAAGAAAAGTCATTCTATATCCACAGCTCTGTGTGGATCTCATCGATTCCAAAAGTTTTTTCTAACCTCCAAAGTTTCATGGGATTCCTCATGAGTTTAGGTGTCCCACCTGTATGGCAGAAGCCTCCACAGTGATGCAGAGGTCTTTGTGAGGGGAAATGTCAGATACACTGACAGTTTTATACTGCACATCTGCAGAAGGTACTGGCTTGTATTGGTTCAAGTCGAATATGCACGGCTGGACGAAGGCATTGTTCCTCTCGGCTTGGCTTTGCCCGTCTCCATCCGAGCTACTTCCTCCTGCGTGACCGGGGCTGTGATTCTGTTGGTTTGATCCGGGTGGAGACTGAAGCATATCTGGGGCGTGTTTTCGCATGTGCTTCATCAGATATGTTTCCTACAGACAGAGAAAGATACATATTAGGATAATTTTAAAAAAGAATTGGAAATGCTGCTCATTTATGGTGAGAGATTGGGCGCTGATGTTTGTACCGAGGTATATGTGTGGTTGCATAAACCACAGGAGTAGAGTTTGTCGTGCTTGACTGTGTGAGTGGACAGATGAACCTCCAGGCTGCCTGCGTCTACATAACCACGGTTACAGTGGTGACACTTATACGGTTTGTCCTTGTTGTGCTGACGCCGATGAGACTGTAAAAGATTGAGAGAAATATTAAAGTGACAGTTTACCCCCAAAAATCATAATTTACTCACACCATGTTGCTCCAAACTTGTCAAAATCAGAGCTGCTCGTTTGCAAACGATGAAAGTGGACGGGAAGCAAGGGTTGTCAAGCTCCAAACAGCATCATAAAACAACCCATAAGACTTGGGTGCTTGTTTTAAGTGTTTTGAAGGTGTACAATAGTTTAGTGTAAGGAACAGGCAAAAATGTATGTCACTATTGACTGAAAATGTTGCTTGACTGCTGGAGGAGGGTTCTGCCAAATTCAAGAATTGAAAAAGAAGAACTGAAGAAGAATCGAAGAATTGGCTCCCTTTCAATTCATGAATGTGAATATAAATTGAATTGGCCACATCCCGCAGGAAGTAATACTGGAATCTGAAAATGAATGACAGAAAGATCTATCTATTCATCTATATATACTACTGTTTAAAAGTTTGGGGTCAGCTTTGTCAAACCAACATTCAAAGTTTGAAAAACGGTCTAAAGAACTTGGCATTTCTAGGTGAAAAATCCATTTCTTTGAATTTCAATTCATTCATTTGAATTTTACTTTCTTGTATAGAAACTAAAATTGCAATTCTGCACCCTAAAGATAAAATTGAATTCTACTTCAAGAACTGAATTGCACATCCTTTACTCAGTCACCCTTTACCTTTAATTCATGGAAAAAACATACAGTTTTTGAAAGACATTATTCCTTAAAGCAAAACTTAGGAAATTAATATTCTAAATAAAAATAACACTTAAAAAATTGCCTTTATATATTTAAATACAGAAACAGAGTATGTCACCTGTAGGTTAGAAAGCTGAGTGAAAGACTTCTCACAACCAGGATGTGAACATTTGTATGGCCTATCTCCTGTGTGGACCCTGAACAGGCACAAAATGTCAAAAGATAAGAAATTAATGGAAAACTCAACTGAATAATAAAGCAGGTGCAAATACAAATAAAAAAGAAAACATGAATGAAAAAGTACAACTGAAAAGAAAACACATCCTGTGTGGTACCTGTGGTGTTGCTGCAAGTGACTGAGCTGTCTGAAGGTTTTCTGGCAGTAGTTACAGGTGTAAGGTTTGACTCCTGTGTGTATTCGTACATGCTGAGCAAGGTAGCTTGTGTTGGCAAATGATTTAGTGCAGTGAGGACACTTGTGAGGTTTGGATTCTGTGTGGTTTCTGCAAAGAAGGAAAGACCAACATGCTTATCCAGGGGCTCATTCAATAATTTACACACACTACACAAATATTTGACATGACAATATTCTTCATTTCTACACTCACTCTGCTGACCTTTCTTAGGTGGTCCCTATCAGTACCACCAACAATTGTCAAAAGTGTGCAGTGTATTTCAAATACATTTGGAAGTTGTGTGGAAGGTGCTTGAATGAGGTCAGAGAAAGGGCAGTTCTCAAAAAAACATTTGCACTAAATCCTCACAGGAACTCTGTGAGCAGCAGAGCCCAATCCCATGTCCAAGTGTGATCAGGAGTGGACGAAACCTTTATGTGACCTCTATTTCAGAGCGGAGCAGAACCTCATAAAACTTCTACACAGTTATGGGACGATAATGTAGAGTCAAAGAGGACTGGGCTTTCACTGACAGCTGCAATTTCAGTTCAATCCTTCAGTCGGTGTGTGTGTGTGTGTAAAGCTCCACAGTGCGGTGTAAAAGTTGAAGTAGTCCGCAGTAATAAAAAGTGTGCCAGAGGAGAAATAAATTAAACAAATAGAGAAAGAAATGAAAGGGAAATATAGAAAAAAAACATAAAATTTTATTTCTTTCATTCTTTGAAACCTGAGAAGTTTTAGTTTCTTCTAACAATTTTTTCTCCAGTACATCAGCGAGACATTTAATGTGTAATCTGCCCACTACACATGGTGACATCAGCTGCGCCATTATAAAGACTGTGGTATATAATTACACAGTCCATTACACATAAACTTACATATAAGCACACTATCATCAGAGTATGTTGCTATAGCAACAAGCAAGAGAGGATGAGGCCCTGATGTCAACCTTTCCAACGTGACCGCAGAATGTCTCAGAGGGCGTACACCCAGAACACGTGTTTGCGTTCAAAAACTGCTAGATGGAGCACAAGTGAAAGCAAAATGCGGAGGTCACAAGAAGCACTTTAACCACGCAGGCTTTTTGTCGGTTATTCATAAAGTGGGCTGAAAACACTGTCAGCTACCGCTTTGGAAATTGGGGGGGAAAAAATTAATTAATCTCTCTGACACTAGCATTAGGCCTTTAAGAAAATAATGCTGCAGAAAAACATTTCCAAGTTCCAAGATTTGTCAAGCACTTTTTACATTACATATTCGAAATCAACGTGTTACATTATTATCATTATTAATGTGTTAAACACATATGTAGTAAATATTTTAAGTCAACATGTTAACTTTGACAGCCCTAAAAATACATTATGTGAAATATTTGTCTTTTCTCTCCAATTTTTCTGCACACTCACTTGCGGCCCACAATACTGCAATACTGGTCCTAGTACCAATAATTGTAATGTTTATTCATATAATGTTCTAAAGACCTGGGCCCGGTTGCATGAAAGTCCTTAAGTAATTTGACTTAGGGGTATCCCTGAGGGGGAAAAAATCCCTGAGGTAAGGGATTTCTTTAGGAGCGTTGCAACAAACGTCTTAACTGTCACCCTTACCTAAGTGTTTATACTAAGCGTTTCATGGTAGTTTCTGGCAACATACGGCAATGGGCGCCGCGGTTACTATAGTTACTACATCTCACAATATTTATATAAAAAATTGTTTTGCGAAAACCTGTAAGTCATGCTTTTTACAGTCATTTTACAGTTTAATATGTTACCATAGTCATTGCCCTACAGCGCTCATATGATATTTTATTTGTGCAAGTCTTAAAAAATGTCTTAAGTCTTACATTTGAGTTTAAAAATCCTGCAGATACTGCGTTTAAGATGACTTAAGGGAGCTCTTTTGGTCCCTTAAAATTATTAAGGTGAAATGG